AAAAAAAAAAAAAAAAAGAACATCAACTAACAACTATAAACCAGAGACATTCTACCGGGGAGAAGAGGGGAATGTCAAAATTCAGGTGGGAAAAGCACATGGGACTATGGTGATGACACATGGGTGAAGTGGTGGTGGGAAATCAATGGGGCTTAAAACTGAGATGAAAAAAATGTACATAATAAAGAATAATGTGTGTGTGTGTGTGTATACATATATATAATAAAAATAATAATAAAAATGTTACAGGGTAGCCCAGAGTGGACTGGGCTGCCTATCTGTGGGGCCTTACCCGCACGCTCACAACTCAGTTACACTGCAGGTGCACACAAAAGGGTCAATAACAGGTTTATTTACAAAAGGGAAAAAGAATAGGAAACAATGCACGGAAAGAGAGCAGGATACAAAGTAAGTGGAATACCTTAAGGCCAGGCTGACTGAACACACCAAGTCACAAGGTCAGGAGAGCTGCTTCCTGGGCGAGAGCGAGTCAGAGTTGCAATCGCCCACTATTTATCCCCCGAATGTCCCAGAATCCATTCCCGCTAGCTCCACCCTTGGGTCCTCACAGTTCTCTCCCTGGTACTGCTGGGAGTTGTAGTTTCCAATCACTGGAGTAGGGGATAGTGTTCAGAAAGGTGGAGTATGGGGTGGAGTCCATAAGACTCTGCAGAGTTCCTTCAGGACATCCTTCCCTAACAAAAAGAAAAAAAGACAAAGATGTGGGTGAGAGACCCATGAGAAGGATGCAATGGTGGCCTTTATGTCTATTTAGATTTTGATTGTGTTTTCTCCCAGAATTGCCTGCCCCCTTCTGCCCCTTTCTTATGGGTCCCCACCAGAATGTGCCTTAGACCTCATGGCTGTCTTTCAGCCCTCAGTGGCCCCGTTATGGGTCAACTCTGTTTGACTGGGCATCCACTGGGGGTTGGGTAACTTTGGATGTTTCATGAGAAAACTATTTTAACTATTTTGTTTCTCTTCCTTTGAAACACTATTGATGTTCCTTTTTTTTTTTTTTTAAGATATATTTTACTCATTTAATGCATGCAAGAGCAGGGATGTAGGCCAGAGGTGCTGGGAGTGCTGTGAGAGGATTCACAGAGACAGAGTGGTGAGCAGAACAGGGATTGACTGAAATACGCTGCTGAGGGGAGCAGCAGGTGAGACAGGAGAGGTCTGCTGCACATTGTGGGTCAGCTCCCTGGCTGGGATATTTTGCTGCAGTGGCTGCTAATAACTTTATTGTGCTGACACTTACCTCTTGCACATCCAGGGAGGCCCACAGACTTTCTTTTCTGTTTGAAGGTCTTAAGTACTAGAGTGTGTCTTGGGGGCGGGGGGGGGGGGAGAGATGGCAGAACCGGTTCCTTTAGAATGGGCAGGCTTGGAGTTCAGGGTGCTCCTAAATCTGTACACTTAGAAGGGAAGCTGGTTGATTGGCTCTCTGGTTGGTTTTCCATTAACTGTTCCTTCTCAGCTTTCTTCACTGACTCTTCTCCATCTATCCATCTAACTAGCTTTAAGTCACTGTAGAGTCTCAGGGTTCTCTCCGAGCCTTTTTGTCCCTCTATTTACAGACCTCATCTGTAGCCACAACTGATGGTTCCC